CAGTGAGGAGAGCCTCAGGGCTGCATTGCCAGCAAGGGGGATGGAGCATCTGGGGCTCCCAAGATTTCTCAATCTGTTGGGGAGGTATCCTCTATCTGCCCTTTTTCCTGAGGAAAGACTTCTGTTTAATCCTCACCCCTCTGATACCCCTCCCACTGCTGGCAAGTCTTTCAAACTGCTACCTCTGCTTTGAATCTCAGCACTGGCAGTGTGCCCATACTCCATACTGGCTGGAGTCTCAGCCTTCCAGAGTATTCTGCCTGTCCCTGATGTTTAGCCCCACTAACACTGGAACGCAATGTAATGTGGGCTTGTGCTCCCAAAGCAGATCTCCAGGGCCAGGTGTGTAGCACTCCTGGGCTTTAGCCCCTCCCTGCTGCATTCCTTTTTTTTCCCACCTGTAGGCTGAGATTTAGGGAGGATTCTGGTCCCTCTCAATCTTGGCTCTGCCACTTTACCTTTCTCTGTGTGGTCTTGTCTTCTTCCTCATGTATAGGTGATCTATTCTGTAGTCTTCAGGTCATTATCAGGTTTAGTTGTATTTGTTGTATTTTCTTCTTTTATGTATCTTTGGGAGGAGGTTTCCACCTTGCTTTTCTATTCCACCATCTTTTTCCAGAAGTATGTAGATAGGTTTTAAGAGATGAGCTTTTATCACTCCATAGAATGATTATAAGATTGATCCATTCTGTAACAGGTAATTCATACAGGTAATTCATATCTATATTTTTATTTTATTTTAGGGTTTGTCTGTTTTTTCTCTTTGTTTGTGCCTACATCACTAATTTTCTGCCTTTCTTTTATTCTAATATATAGTTTTAAGGCTATATTTTTTCCTCCAAATACTGTTACAGCATTTAATTTTCAACATGCCTGAGTTTTAAAAAGCATTTAGTTCCCAGTATTTTCAAATTTTTATGACTTTGGCTGGGTCTATGAACTATTTTTGAAATGTGTATTTAAATTTCCAAAATATGCTTTTTAAAATGAGCACTTTCTTAGTAACTTTTAACTAAGTTATCCTGTGGTCACAGAATCAGGTAAATATTAATTCAGTCCTTTGAAATTTATGGAGATTCTGCTTTGTGGCTTAGTATGTTTTAACTTTTTATGACTGCACCCTGTATGCTTAAAAGTAATGTGTATTCTCTATTTATTAGGGACAGTATTTTCTATATGTCCTATAGAGCAGGTTTGTTAAACCTATGTTTTGTATCTTCTCTAACTCTACCAATTTTCTATTTGTTTGACCTATCAATAGTTAGGAGAGCTGTGTTTGAATGACTACCTTTTTCCTCTTATGGGTCTATCAGTTTTTTTTTTTTTACAAATATTTTGTTTATTTTAATGAAGCTGGCACAATGTCCATTTAAAACCCATATCCCAGGCCAAAAAGTAAAAATAAAATTAAAAAGAACAGTGTTCTGTTGTATATACCTCTGCATGAATAACTATTAACTGCAATGAAAATTAGAACTTTTCTGGGATCTTCTGACAAGATTTTTCTTTCATCTTAAAATGCTTTCTCTTCAAGAGGAGCCATTTTTGAAGTTAGTCATTACTCTCACCATCTCGGTCATCTTGACTCCAACCTATCTTCTTCTTTTAGTCCAGACGCTCAGATTTGTAAAGTAGCTTCAAGTTAAGGAAAGGTCATTTTTCCACAGTTTAGCTCTCTGAAAAACTTCCATCTCCCACTGAAAGTCAGTCCAGGAGTGAAGCAATCATATACTAGAACTTCAGAGTCATTATCAACACTCACATTGGTTGATCTTTTGTATCACAAGTCTGAAAATGCAGTCCTGGAAAAGGTGGCCTCTCTTGTGTGCACACGTGTAATTTTTAAAAAGGAAGGGCTATATGAAGGGGGCTGAAGTTTGATCACCAAAGATCAGCACAATGAAAGCAAATGATAATGAGTAATGGGCACTAGAATTCAAATTATCAGATGTTCTAAAGAGATGGGGTGCCAGTTTCAATTCAGTTTTGACCACCACATTACAAAAAAACTATTTTTAAAAATAAAAAAGGATTGAGGGAAAAGATTAAAAAAATAAAACAATATCTAAACCATTGAATGACCCCCCATTTGTTCCTGATAAACTTCAATCACATCTTCTTCCTCCATTCCCAGTTCTTTTGGAGTGTGATTATCAGCAATTCCCTGACCTTCAAAGAGAAACCTGAGTGAATTCATTGGAACTCCCTGTCTTTGACAGTATGATTCTTTGAGTTTTTTGAGATGTGTTGTCATTTTCACTTTGAAGTGAATTTCATTGCTGTCCAATGACTTTGAGTTTAATGTATTCGCCTTCCTTCTTATCTCCCAAGTCCTCAGTTGAAGGTTTTTGCCTCCTGGTCAAACATGGTGATGGTGGCTTCCCCTAGGGTCTCCGCACAGCAGTGGCCTCGGGCAGGCTGAACCTCACTCTCGGGTCTATCAATTTTATAGACTTTTTATTTATATATTTTGAGGCTATTTGACATTCAAATTTATTATTCTTATACCTTCCTGATGAAGTGAACTTTTATCATTATGAACTTCATTCTAAATAATTCTTATTGACTTGAAGTCTCACATTAATATAGCTACCCGTTTTCTTTTACTTAATATGTGCATGATATATCTTTTCCCATAGTTTTATTTTCAAATGAACACATTCTTATATTTTAATGTTCCTTATAAGTAACCATAGTTGAATTTTTCATTTTTATAGATGCTGATAATCTAATTTGTGATTTAAATCTATTTATGTTTATTGAAGTTATGACTACATTTGGACTTATCTACCTTGCTGTGTGCTTCCTTTTTCTCCTTCTTTTTCCTTGGTTCTCTTTCCTTCTTTTTTGGACTCTTTAGAAGAGTGATTGCAATATTCACTTGTTTTGTTTATTTTTTTATGTTACCATTTCCTCCCTCTACTGCCCTACATACAATATACTCTAGTTCTTTTATTCTTGTGTAACCCTTGAAGTCTTAACTATCACATATAATCTTTTAAAGTCCAGGTAATTTTAACACTCCTCCTGATGGAGATAAGAACCAAAACTTAAATGTTATTTTGTCCAGTTTGGTTCTGTCTTTTTAAGCCACTATACATTAAAAATTATTATTTCATTGATAATGTTTGTTGACATTTGCTTATATTTACCAATTCATTTATTTACAACTCATTCTTGAATTATTAAGAAATACCCTTTTTATCCCTAGTAATGCTTTTCTCTCAAAGTTTACTTCATTTGATGTTAATGTCATCACATTAGCTTTCTTTTGATTGGTGTTTACATGATAATACCTATCCCCTCATCATTCTCCATATTCCTTTGGTTAACAATTTTTTACTGTATTATTAATACTCATTCATTCAAATAAATTTTTAATTTTATGTTGAGTTTTTTTTATTGTTGTCAGGAAAAAGATTAATCCAAATTACCTAAACTCCTATTACTAGAAGCATAAGACATTTAGCCCTTATTCCTTTAAGAATACTGAATATTCTCATATGGTAGTCTACCTCCAAGAAGGTTCCAAGATCCTGGTATCTCCACTTTTGTATAGTCCTCTCCCACAATATGGCAGAGTTGGTCTGTATGACCAAACCTATAGAATTTGCCAGAACTGATGGTGTGTTCAATTCTAAGATTAGGTTATAAAAGATAGGAGCTTATTGCTTGGTTACTCTCTGTTGCAATGGGATCATTTGCTCTTGGGGAAGCCTACTGTGAGGAGCTCTATGGAAAGGTCCATGTGGTGAGGAATTGAAGCTTCCTGCCAACAGCCATGAGTGAGCTTGGAAGTGGATCCTACAATCAAGTTTTCATAGCACATCAACTTGGCCAACATCTTGAGCATAACTTCATGAGAGACTGAGCTAAAACTGCTCAGGCTAAACCACTCTAAATTCCTGACCCTCAAAAATGTGTGAGATAGTAAGTGTTTATGGTTTTAGGATGATTTGTTATGCAGCAATAGATAACTAGTATAGCACATTTAAAATTACTTGCTGTCCGAGCCATCAAATCTACTTGATCTTTATCAGTTGTTCAGTTTCCTGAGCTGTTGATTCTACTTTGAACTTTATCAGTTGTTCAGTTTCCCGAGCCATCAATTTTACTTTGACTTTTGTCAGTTCTTCAGTTTCCTTATATGCTGACATTCCCTTTAGGGTATGATCCATCTTGGCTAGTGATGAGTATTTACAGGGAGGACTAAGTTCTAGGGCTTAGGTTGAGGCCCCTTTGGTAAACTCAGACTTAAGCCATCATGCTTCAGAGGTGGGTAGTTTTTGGTGTTTAAATCTGTACCTCCCCTAGGTACTGTTTTCATGGGCTGTTTGACTTAGTTATAATCTCCCGTTTCTTGGTATACAAAGATGGGTTGGGGAAGAAGGGAATACAAAAGGGCCAGATTGTCTGCTTACACCAACCAGTCCAAGCTCAGATATTGCCTGGTGTTATCCTACTGTCCTCAGTAGAGGCTGAGCTGGTTACTGTTCTGATCCTCAGGGCAATGGAGCAGGTAATGGTCACACAAGTCAGTGTATTCAAGAAAGAAAAGGTACCTCCAAAAAACTTGCCCCTATTCAATATCTTGTCCCTAGTGCTCAGTTAGCTTTTGCTGTGGCTTGTTAACCACCTTTTGTTGTCCCAGGCATCTTGCTTGTTTTTAGCTTTCATGTTTGACAAATTGATCAGTTTTCTTTGGTTGCTAGGGTTGAACTTCTAGGGTTGAGTTCAGTGGAAAAAAGCTGATACTCTAGTAGGAACCAAAATATCTAATTCATTTTTTATTTTTCCATTTCTTTAAAAAAATAATCTGTTAAAGTTTTATTTTCCCATATCTATCTTTTTATTGCATCAAATGTTAAATAGGTCTTCAAAAGTGCTTCTTGAATGAAATAAAGAAACAGAAATAAACATAACCCATAACCCTCTCAATTAATATACCTGGTTACAGTCTTTAGGAAAATCTAATTTACCATCATTTTATCCCTACTCACCTGGAATGGCTTCAGGAATATTTCCTCCATTGCCAATCTGCCATATTCAGTGAAAAGCTAGAAGGAAAATCACACACACAAACATACACACACACACACACAGAAACTTCAGTATCCACAAAGTTTTACTCTTGGCTTTCTTCATTTATTTTTTTTCCTAGTAGTAATATAACATTACATTATTAAGATTAAAATAATCATTTTAAGGAACTAAGTATTAGGTAAAGCAGAGCTACTAAGATACTAAGTATTAGATAAAGCCGGAATTGGATATTTGAAAAGTAAGAACATAAAGTGCATTTTTAAAATAGAGTTTCAATTTTAAAATTAACACATTTTGTACCTAGAATACAGGAGAATTTTTTTTATAGGGAAGATGGGGGCAGTGGGGGAACAATCGTGTTAAATAACCTTTCAAAGCAAAACTTGCATAGATTAGACCAGAGAGCTATAACTAGGTTGCACATATTTACAAAAGTTGTTGCCAGAAGATATTAATGGCACAATGGCCTGGATTACTACAAAAGCATATAGGCATTTGGCTTAAAAAGTAGAGAACCAAATGTACTGCCTTTCCTTACTTTTTATTGTTACTAATTGAGAGGCACTGTATCAGTTTTTGTGTTGCCAGAAATGTAAGTTTTTGGAGAACACAGACTGGAAGTGAAAACTCCCATTTGGCCTCTGGTGAGGGTTTCATCCAGACAAGCCAAGTGGGTTTTCCCATATGTACATAGGAAATGTCACTTCATACACAAGAGAAACAAGCCACAGTGACTTCTCAGAGCTGGGGAAGAATGCTGACACAGGATTGCCATCCCTTGCCCCTCCAAATAGCTCCCACAGTACCACACTGCCTCTCCTGTGGGAGATATGGGAATCTAGAAAGCCAAGGGTAATTACTAGGCAACTAATTAGAGGGATTAAATGCAAGTCTGGAATATCATGTTTAAAAAGCAGCTGGTCCAGGGATTAGACACTCTCATTAGAATCATCTACTAACATAGTTTGAATTCACAATCATTTTTGAGGAAGGCCGAGATGTTGTCATTACAGGAAAAATTGTGAATGATTTGAAAAATCAATATCAAAGTCCAAAATCAGTTCTTTTTTTTAGAAATCCCTAAATTTGTATTGGACAGTGCCATGTCATTAACTTGGAAAGTAACTAGCTAAATTGTGACACATGCCTGAAGAAATAATTGGACTTATTATAAGAAACTTCTAACAATTATTTGGCATATTTCCTATTTGTTATAAATGGTCAGTGTGATGTACAAGAAATATATTTGGGAATAATGCTGGATGTGAACTCCAAATGATATTTCCAACATCACAAATTACCCTGCTCTATCATCCTTTGTTATCTGTTAAACTGTCACATTGCTCTTATTGCCAAGACAAAATAATATATTGAAAGAAATTTTTCTATAAAATATGTAGAAGGAAACTCAGAGAAACAATAGGCTTTGCTATGTAACCAAGATTAACATGAGCTGAAAGAGAGCAGAATGTGACAGAGGTGTGAACTATCTTTAGGAAATATCTAATCTTTTACTTATTTGAGACTTAAATGCTGCTTGGAGAGTGGAAGGAGTGCTTGGTGCCATCAGATGACCAGATTTCTATTCCCACTCTACTGCTAATTAGTTACATGAGTGTAGGCAAGTCATTTACTTTTTTCAGCCAAATTTTCCTCATCTATAAAATATGAAAGATAAATTAGGTATCACTGAGGCCTGTTTCAATTCTAAAATAAAATTCTATTAGTTATCATCAGGTGGCCCCTCATAGTTCTTAGGAATAAAGTGGCCCACAAGAAAAAATACCTGGTATACAACTGATAGCATACTAACAATTATTAAATCCCTGACCTTAAGATTTCAACTTCACATTTTGGGTTGTTTCTAAATCAAAGATTCTTTCTTCACTCTAATTTGCCATGTATTTTCACATATATAGGGGCAATAGCAAGTAGCTTTACAGAAACAAATGAATTGGAAAACATAACTGTACAGCCTGGAACAAGAAACCTGGAAATAGAACAACCCCCATTTTGTTATATTTCTAAATCTCTATGAATTGTTAAATTTTCCAAGTAGAAGGCCCAATAAAATTCTGAAGTTCTGCTCTAGATGCTCAAAAGATTACCAGATATACAAAAAAAGAGTGTAAATATTGTTACCTGGAGGTGCTGAAGATCATCCTCCTGGACATTTTGGGACAAGTTATACACCTTGATTAAGAAGTAAAGTCAAAGTGAGAAAAGAATTAGCATCCTCTTCAGCATTTATTTCATCATTCTCTATGTTTCTAAATATCAATTATCATAAAATCAAGCTCTTTTATGTATATTCTTATATAATGACATTTATAAGACTTTGAGAGAGGAGTAAAGCAAACTTGAGAGACAACAAACAATGTACAATTATCATAATGTTGTTCTAGAAATACAATAGCCACCTGCTCTGGAGACAGAATATTAAAGTATTTTATTAACCTAACTTAACAATTAGTCAATGAAATAATCATTGTTACAAGCACACCAAAATAATAGCAATCTAAATCTGAAGAGCCCATATATAAAATTTTGTCTTGAAAAATCATGTTGACTTCTTTGCAACTGATTTAGTTAAGTCTACAGAAAGTGCCATCACATGAAAGTTATCTTCTGAATATCATGCTCATGTCCTTACACGTGCATTATTGCTCCATGAACAGATCACAGCATTAAAGTGAGATTCCTTTTCCTTTTTTTTTTTCTGAGGGATATAAATATCAGTAACTTCAAAGAACAGTTAAGGATGTTTATATGTTTATGTATTTATGTAAAGAACGTGTTTCGTGTACTTATTTAAATAAGAGCTCATGTCTCAGAAAATAATAAAAATAGTCATAACTAAGGACTTAGCAGATTTTCCAGTAAAAATATGCAATGTCTTCAGGTAAAATATAAATAGTAAATAATAAATATTAAAAATGCAAAGTCAGTCTGGTTTTAATTGGCTTCTGTAAATGGCTTATACTTTTGATTATGAAGAAATTAGATATTCAGTATTTTAAAGGCTCATCTATTTAAGAAGTATATTTTTGAAAGCTAGTCAATCACAGGTTATAATCATGAGTTTTATTTTAAGATCCTTTACTAAAAAATCAGTCTTCCTTCTCTCCATGCTCTCATTGTCCTAACCACACATGATACCCCTGGGTGCCAGTTCACTAGTTCATTCTCTCTCTCACTTATAATTTCCACCTTGACTTACTCATTCTGACCACACTGCCTTTCCTACCTGTTAAAATTGTCTTACTTTTCTTTGATGGTCTGTTCCTTGACCACTAACTGTTCTTACTCTTTCCAGTGAACAGAAAATATCTAAAAATTGTCTTACAATCTTTTATGCTCTATGGTTCTAGAAAACTCTCTAAGGACTTTCAGGACAGTTTATAAAGCCTACAATAATCTCAAAAAGGACAGAGAAAAAGAAACAGAAAATAAAAAATTTTATTAGAAGCATTTACTTTCTGAAATGGATATTGAGGTGTTTTATAAGGCTATGAACATACATACACTTTTTTACATTTAGAAATGTTTCTAGTGGCTATGTATGACAAAATGCATTTATAAATCTTGTTTCAGTAAATATGACTTATAAGAGGTGGTCCCCATGCACTGCACATATTATAAGATTTAATATTACTGAGTTTATTGTAGGCTTCCAATGGAAAAAATTACCAATATTACCTTTTTTGACTAACCTAGGCAATTCAAAAACTGATCAGAAATTAGATTCATTAACAAAAACAAATCTATTCTTATAGAAATCATAAGAACTGCCATGCTAGTTGAGCCAAACAGCATATATCATTCACCATTCTGTTGTCTCACTACCACACATATGTAAAAATACATACATTCATAAATTTTAGTTAAAGAAACAGGTGTCAAAGTGGATTTATCTTATTCCATACCTGTATTGAGCTGATCATTGTGCTAAGGGCAAATACTGTGGCCGAATCTCTCAAAGTTGACTGACTATCAAAGGTTCCCTGAGTATCCATCAATAACACCGCGACCTATAGGCAAGTAGAGTACATTATTGATATTTTATAGAACATGTATGGTATTAGGGTTCCCACAAACTTAATACCATAAAAAGTAAAGCAAACCATTATCAATGAATATTTAATAGGTAATTATTGTACATGTACCATGAATGCCACAGAAAATAAAAATATTAGCTGCTCAATACTATCATGATTAATTTTCACTGGTGATCCAATATAACAGAAATAGCATTAAAGTAAGTACAGATGTTAGCTTGCTGATCTGCCGTTCTATTCTCTATGATTTTGCTGACCTGATCACTAGAAACAGGGAACATGCAATAGGATACTACCCACTTCCCTTTGAATATGCATGTTAAGTGTCCAAAATTGGTTTTCAAATGAGCATTTCTAAGGATCCTGAAGAGTGGTAACAGTTGCAAGTGAAAACTCAGTTTTCTTCAAGAATTTCACACCATACCTTTTTACCATCAGGTTTATTGATAAGGAAGACTTCACTCCATATTTGGATTCCTGTGGTCTCTCGTTCAGACCCACCTCTCCATGAAAAACCAGTCAATGGTTCATTGTAATCTCCAACCCAATCAACTGATTCCTATAAATGAAGAAAGTCTATGATATAGTACTAGATAATGTGGTATTGTTTTTTCCATTCATCCATTCCTGTTTGTATCACTCTACAACTCTTAGTCAAAAGAAAACAACATACACACATCCATGGTATTGATACAGTTACTTTATTTATTCATCCAAAAAATAATTAAAGGAGCAATTGTCTGCCACATTTTATTCTAGGTCCTGGGAATTAAAAGATAATCCATTCAGGCCAGAGGAAACTCACAACCTAACTGGGAAACAGACATGCTAACAAACCGTTTTGATGCAATATTTTTATGCCAAAATGGGAATGTATGTTAGGCATAAATGAAAACAAAGGAAAAGAAATAACAAATTTATGACTAGGCAAGACTTCATGGGAGAGGTAATGTTTGAGCTAAGACTTGAAGGATATTTAGGACTTTTCCAGGTGAGCAAACTTATGGAGGGCATTCCAGAAGCAAAGAAGGGTATGAGAGAACATTTTCTGTCAGGATATACACCACAATAATATACAAAAATGCTTTGGTATGCGTGAATAGCAGAAGAGGCACGTAGTAATAGGTAGTAATGGGTGCGTATTAATAGATGTAGAAAAACAATACAAATGTTACACTTTAATCTGAGCAGATGCTATTTAACACAAACAACATGACAAGCTTTGTTGTGTATTTCGTTCTAATGTTTATTTCACAGTTAAAACTATGGCCTAAACCTATAATCCCAAAGAATGGAAAATATACTAATTTTGTTCTTTCAGTTTTCTCACCTGTGTTAGGTAGTATACTAAAGTTGGTATGCTAGAAATAAAGAATAGTAAAAGTTCTGCTTTCAAAGACTGGGGTATTTTGGTAGTTCTGTTCTTAACTCGTTTGAACTGAGATGAGAGATATAAGATATAAAATTAACATATGACATTTAAACAAAATTGTTTAAAAAAACCCAGACCACCCAACTATAAAAGATCAATCCAAAATGGATAATTATGGTTAAATACAAAACACAAAGTTTCTATGGGTAGTGGGTCTATTCTGCCTCAACACTGTATTTGCATTGGAATTGCTATGGGTAAAAAAATACTAGTATGTTCTCCATTCCCAACCTTCTGTTTCCTAACTCTAATTTACTGTTTATCCTTTTGCTTTTGATTTATCCTAGGTCCGTTAAAGTTTCATTTCTGTGTCACACTGTTGCCTCAAATGTTATGACACTGTTGTTGCCTCTGGGGATTGGTAAAAGTGAAAACTCTGTGGGAAGAGATGAGAGAACTTTCTGGGGTAATGGCAAGATGCATTTGATAGGATTTGAGTGACACAGGTATGTGCATTTTCAAAAAAAAAAGAGCAAAGGTACATTTAAGATTTGTGAATGTAACTTTGTGTAAATTTGTAACAAAAGAAAAAACCAAAGTGAATACTGAAATATGTAATAGTGACATACATTGAAATATTTATGGTAAGTGTATGATGTCTGTAATTTACTTTGAAATGAATAAAAAAAATAAGGTGAAGTAATAGAGGGGAGAATAGCTGGATACACATGTGATAAAGCAAGAATATTAACGTTAATGATATAATCTAGGTAGTGGATTCCCAGATGTTCACTGTAAAATTATTTTAACTTTGCTGCATGCTTGAAAAATATCATAATAAATGTTGGGGGAAAATGATTACAATTTAAAAATTAGTAACAAAAGTTATTTTACATTTTAAACACTATACCATGTAAAGTTTATAATATCGCTATGTTGTATCTATTTCTAAAGGAGTAAAAAAAAAAAAATTCTAAGGGAAATGTGGCAAAGTGGCCTCAGACAAAAATGGCCCAAAGCACTGAAGTTAGAATGGTTACACCATAGCATTTTCTAACTAGTTCATATTTAGGGTACATAATAATGGAAATGGAAATACTGAACATTACTAAATGAAAACACAAAGTGGTAAAATCACAGAAACAAGAAAACATTTTAAAGCACCTCTTACACACCTGGTTGTACATGTATCTCAACATGAAGTCCATCAAGAATGATTTTCCTTTTCTAAATGCTCCAGCAACAGATACAGCAACGACTTCCTTGTCCCTGACAGCTTCTGAGAGAAGAATTCGATTTAATGCAGTTTCATCTAATTCAAAGGAATGGTCATCTTTGACAATGAGGACTTGGACTGGTCCTGCCTTTTTGACTGGTTCCTCCTCTTCTGAGCTCCATTCATATGCCTTTTCTGAAAACCCACCTATTGAAAAATATCAATATATTCAGCTAATTATCTCAGAATGCCAAGAAATGTGTATGTATCTCTCAACTTTCAAACACCTGAAACAGGAGCACAGTAGAACTAGAAATGCTCATTTTAATGACATATATTAATGCCATGACACCATATCTCACAAATGCTTCCATATGGTGTAAGTAAGTACATATGACCATGTGACCAAATCAAATAGAATTTTATTTTCAAAAAGTTCAAAGTCAGTGTAGATATTTCTGTTTGCTGAATAAGAATGCAAATAAGAGCGAAGGACTCTACTTTTGGAGCAGAAGAATAAAAATGGCTTTAGTTCACCCTTTCTTCATCCCCTAGAAGTAAGTTTAATCATTCACATGAAGGATCTATGCAACACTTTTAAAGATAGACATACATAAAGGAAATACATAGAGGGGCTCAGAATCACATATTCTTATAATTGGAATAAACCTCAAAAGTACCTAGTTTAGGTCCCTCCAATGCATGCTTCTCATCTACAAAATCCTAGACTCTTAATTATCTAAAATTATATCTCATAGCAACAGAAGTTACAGATAATGAAACTGGGTAGGGCTAGATTATAGAAGACCTTCAAATCCATGGCAAAGAGGTCTGGACATATTTCAATTAAAAAAAAAGAAACTTTTGAAAGTTACTTTGAATGGAGATCTTACTTAAAAAAAAGGTTGTGGGGCCCTGGGAAATTACTAATTCCCCCAATTTCTTCATCTGTAAAACAGAAACTACTAGAAGTATCTACTTAAAATAGGGCTGTTGTAAAGATTAAGGGGGTCACTATGTGTAAAGTGCTGAGAACAGGGTTGGCACATAATAATCTTATAATGGTTGGCTATCATCATCATCATCACCACCTCTACTTTGGTATTTTAGGTTGAACCAAGTATTCCTAGAAGAAATTTCTGCCTATTATCTATAAATTTATGTGTGGATGTGTGTGCATGCATGTACTAGCATGTGACTGTTTTCTCAAAGTTATATATCTAGGGGTTAGCATCCAAAATATAAATAACTCATACAAGTCAACAGCAAAATAAATCCAATTTTAAAATGGGCAAAAGATATGAATAGATGTTTTTCCAAAGAAGACATACAGATGGTCAACCAGTACATGAAAAGATGCTCAACATCATAAAGCATCAGGAAATGCAAATCAAAACCATAATGAGATATCACTTCACACCTGTTAGAATGGGTATTACCAAAAAGACAAGAAATAACAAGTGCTGGCAGGGATGTGCACTGTTGATAGAAATGTAAGTTGGTATAGCCATTATGGAAAACAGTGTGGAGGTTCCTCAAAAGAATAAAAATTAAAAATACAATCTAGCAATTCCACTTGTGGGTATTTATATGAAGAAAATGAAAACACTAATTAAAAAGATTTATTCACACCCCAATGTTCATTACTGCATTATTTACTGTAGTCAAGATATAGAAACAACCTAAGTGTCCATCAGTGGATGAATGGACAAAGAAACTGTGGTATATGAATACAATGGAATATTATTCAGCCATAAA